TCACATGCATATGAAGTTACTGAAAATACCATGGCTTGGGTCAGGTACATCTTAGTCCTCAAGCTGACATCTTTGCTCTTGAACACGTTCAAGCTGTCTTATGCAACAGATTTACCTACTGCAATATGTTGTTTGATTTCTTGACTGCTGCTTCACTGAGAGTTGATGGGTGATCCAAGCAAAATTAAATCTTTGACAACTTCAGTTTTTTCTCTGTTTATTTGGATGTTGTTTATTGGTCCAGTGGTGAGGATTTTTGTTCTCTTTACACTGAGGTGCAACCCATACTGAAGACTGTGGTCTTTGATCTTCATCAGTAAGTATTTTAAGTCCTCTTCACTTTCAGCAAGCAAAATTGTATCCTCTGCATATCATAGGTTGTTAATGAGCCTTCCTCCAATCTTGATGTCAAGTTTTTCTTTATATAATCCAACTTCTCAGCATACAGTTTGTGTAAATATGATGGAAGAATACTACCCCGGCACACACCTTTCCTAATTTTAACCCATGCAGCGTTCCCTTTTCTGTTGTAACAGCTTGGTATATGGACAGGTTCCTAAAGATCGTAAATAAGTGTCTTGGAATACTCATTCTCTGCAATGTTGTCCACAGCTTGTCATGATTCACACAATCAAAATTCTTTACTTAGTCAATAAAGCACCATTAAGCACTATTCTGGTATTCTCTGCTTTCATCCCAGATCCATCTGACCATGTCTTCCTCTAAATCTGGCCTGAAACTGTGGTAGTTCCATGTCAATGTACTGTTGCGGCTGTTTTTGAGTTATCTTTAGCAAGATTTTACTTGCATGAGATATTAATGATATTGTTGGATGATTTCTGCATTCTCTTGCGTGTCTTCTCTTTGGAATGGGCACAAATATGGATCTCTTCCAAACATCTGCCAGGTAGCTGTCTTCCCAGTTTCTTGACATAGATGAGTGAGTGCCTCCATTGCTGTATCAATTTGTTAAAAAAGATTTTAATTTATATTCTATAAATTTCTAGAGCTTTGTTCTTTGCCAGTGCCTTCATGTCACCATGGACTTTTTCCTTCAGCATCATTGGCTCTTAATCATATGTTACCCCTTGAAATGGTTGAACATTGACCATTTCTTTTTGGTACAGTGACTCTCTGTATTCCTTCTATCTTCTTAATAATACTTTCTGCATCATTCAATATTTTGCCTATAGAATCCTTCAATATTGCAAGACAAAGCTTGAATTTGTCTTCAGTTCCCTCACCTTGAGAAATGCTGAGCATATTTTTCCATTTTGGTTTTCTAACTATAGATTCTTGCACATTTGATTATATTTGACTTTGTGTTCTCAAGCTGACTTTGGAAATCTTCTGTTTAGGCCTTTTATTTCCTCATTTCTTCCATTTGCGATAACATCTCTATACAGGAGAGCAAATTTGGCTCAGAGTCTCTTCTGACATCCATCTTGGCCTTTTCCTAATTTCTTGTCTTCTTGAGAACCTTTTGCTTTCTTCCTGTATGGTATTCTTGATGTCATCTCACAACTCCTCTGATCTTCGATCATTAGTGTCTGATTCATCAAATCTGTTCTTGAGATCATTTCTAAATTCAAGTGGGATATGTCCCAGGTCATATTTTGATTCTCCTGGACTTTTTTTCACTTCATCCTGAACTTGCATATGAGCATTTGATGTTCTGTTCCACAAGTCTGCCCCTGGCCTGGTTTTGGCTGCTGCTACTGCTGGAGTTTTTTCCCTGTCTCTTCCCATAGATGTAGTCAGTTTCTGTGTATTCTATCTGGTGAGGTCCTTGTATATAGTCATCTTTTGTGTTTAAAAAGGTATTTTCAATGAAGAAGTCAATGGTCTTGCAAAATTATTTCATTCGATCTTGATCATCATTTTCTTTCACCAAGACCATATTTTCCAAATGCTGATCCTTGTTCTTTGTTTCCAGCCTTTGCATTCCAATCACCAGTAATTACCAGTACATCTTGAGTGCATGTTTGATTAATTTCAGACTGAAGAAGTTGATAGAATTAGTCAATTTCATCATCACTGGCTTTAGTGACTGGTGCTTAAATTTGAATAACGTATTAACTTGTCTTCTTTGTAGGTGTATGGATACTAGACTATCACAGACAGTGTTGTATCTCAAGATAGATCTTGAAATGTTCTATTTGGTAATGAATGGGACACCATCCCTCTTCAATTTGTCATTCCCAGCATGGTAAACCATGTGTTCATCGTGTTCAAAATGACTAATAACTGTCCATTTAGCCTCACTAATGCCTAAGACATTGGTATTTATGCATTACATTTCATTTTTGACAACTTCCAATTCTCTATACTTCGTACATTTCATGCACTGATTATTAATGGATGTTTACAATTGTTTCTTCTCATTTTGAGCAGTAACCTCTCAGCAAACGAAGGCCCTGAAAGCGTTACTTCATTCATGTCATCATGGTCAACTCTACTTTGAGGAGGTAGCTCTTCCCCAGTCATATTTTGAGTGCCTTCCAACCTGAGAGGCTCATTTTCTGGTGCCACATCTGACAATATTCTGGTGCTTTTCATCATGTTTCAATAGTCAATATTCTGGTGCTGACTCTGTTCCTCACCTGATCATAAGGTTTTCAGTGACTAAATATTTGCAAGTAGTCTGTCTTAGTCTGCAAGTTCTTCTGAAACATGTCCATCATGGGTGACTCTGACCCTGCTGATACTTAAAATTCCCGTGGCATAGCTTCCAGAATCACAGCAACATGCCAAGCTTCCACAATATGGAAAACAGACAGGCAATTGGTGATTCTGACTCTGAATGCCTCCATAAAGAGTTTCCAAGGTTGTAAATTTTAATAGGAGCAATAGCCTCATCTTTCTCCCACCCTGTGATTAACAGTCCAGGGTTTATCCTATAGAACCACTTGGGCTTTTTAATTAGCACATTTGTTAGGAAGAGTAATTTTGATGTATCTTGAAAATAAAAGTAGATAGTGATGGGAGAGAGCCTTAAGGTAAAATTGGAATTTATTTGTTTACTTTGAGTTCTTGAGCTATGTTTTTCTTTATAACAACTGCGTGTGTATCGCATACTTTAGCATTTTTAAATTTTTACTTACAGGTGGAAAACTAAGACATAATCTTTTTTTTTTTAAATCTTGAGTGCTTTTCTGAGGTGGCGAGCAGAACTTGAATTTCAGAGGCTTTGGTTCTTTCAGTCATCTGGCTAGTGATTATTAGAACTCATGTCAGGTAGATTGTTGGATACATAATCATTTAACAGATATATTCTCACAGTTCATCCTTTGAATTAGAGACTTGGCATGAAGTTCATTGTTTCTAGGTTGATCACAATTGAGAAAATTTATTAGCTTGTCCATCATTTTCTAATATGTTAGGCAAAACAGTTTTATAATGAAATTAAAAATTTATGCTTTAAGAGTCTTGTTTTAATTTTAAATAAATTAGTAGGATAACATGTATGAAATGGTAGATTAGATGGAAATACTTGAGTCTTTCACATGGTGTAGGCTGACTTGTCTTTCAGTTATTGACAGGGGCCTGCCTGCTACCTTGTTATAAAATAATCTGCAGCGGGGCAGCAAATAGCTAAATGCTTCACAAATTATCTGATAAGCAGAACATGTTTTAGGTCGACCCTGTATAGGGTTTCCAAGGAGCAGCTGGTGTGTGTTT